AATGATACAGTAGCCAAATGGGCTTGCCACACTCTCCGTTTTGGCTAGGTAAGGTCAAGTGAATGACGACAGTAGGATCCTGTATGTGTGTTTCGGAGACGCAGCATACATCAATGGTACGAGATTCTTGAACAACGATTGTTCCAGCCAGTATAGCTCGATTGGTTCATCACGATAGGCAAGCTCGACCATCACGTCAAGGTAGCAACAACCGTTGGGCTTCTAGTTAGTGGTCAAACTGCTTACCTACTTACTTACGCCTGTTACTCCTCGTGAAGGAACATAAGCCACCCACCAGCACTCGCCATCCAATGCTGTCTTGGACAATCCTTTCCAGCTCTTTTCATTTGTTACTCATCCTTTTCATATCTGCCCCTATTTCCCGACGTAATGTGTTCTTTGGCCTTCCTCTTTTCCGCTTCCCTTCAGGATTCCAAGTTAGGACTTGCCTCGTGATGCAGTTTGGTGATTTGCGTAATGTGTGTCCTATCCATTTCCATCGTCTTTCCCGAATTTCCTCTTCAGCTGGAAGTTGGTTTGTTCTCTCCCAGAGAAGGCTGTTGCTGATGGTATCCGGCCAATGGATGTTGAGTATCTTGAGTAGACAACTATTTATAAATACTTGTACCTTCTTGATGGTGGTTGTTGTAGTTCTCCAAGTTTCAGCTCCGTTCAGTAGAACTGACTGTTTTGACATTCGTATTGAAGATTGTGGCTTTGATATTTGCTGACAGACAGTTGTTTTGAGTTGCACATGTTATTCAATTGTAGGAATGCCTTCGTTCCTTTACCAATCCTCACCTTTACGTCTGCATCTGCACCTCCTCGTTCATCGATGATGCTTCCTAGGTATGTGAATGATTCTACATCTTCCAGAGTTTCGTCATCAAGTGTGATTGGAAAACTGGTCAGACTGGGTGTCTTTGAATTCCGCGAAACAAGGTGTGAGGTTGTTCGGAGATGCCTACTCGGAACTAAACTAGAAGTTATGTTTGTGTATACAATAAGTGGAATGGGAGGGACAGTGTATATATATATATAGGTGAGATTGTTTGTAAACTGGTGTACTGGCCTAGTATTCTTACGCTAGTTTCAATTTGAAGTCAACTAGTGCGAGATGTTAGTGGCGCAGTCATGTCGCATTCATGTAACTAGTTTTGCGGTGAGTTAACGAAGCTTCCTGTGAGAACAGTCGTGCTTTCAAGACGAAATGAATCTGCGTGTTATTTGGTTTGAATTTTGAAACAACAGAAGACTGGATGTCCTGTATTAGTCTTGGCAATGATGGTCTCTCTGTTGATCCAACTTTCTTTTGAGTGTCGACAGATGGATTTTCAATCACGTGCAGAGGTATGATTCTATGGGAAATTCGATAGTCAGCTGACAATTAATTTGTTCTAGGCTTGTAGACTGTTTTAGAGTGTCCTCGTAAATTCTCTTTTTTTGAGGTCAAGAAAAGTAAGGGCATATCAGATACAGATTTATCACTAGGTAATTTAAAATTTGTGATCGATTCGCCTCTGGTTCTTCTATATGGCAATGGAATTAAGTTTAGTTTAGCCAGTCGAGCGTCGCACAGGAGCATTGCTATTCTGGAAATGAGCTAAGCCAAGATTCTCTGCACCTTTCTCAACAGCTCGTTATCTCTTAGGCAGGGACTAGCTACTCGTATGCGGTACTGTAGTATAGGACGAACGAGCACTGTACACAAATTCGAAAAGCTTTTAGCATCTACATGGCTTAAGGCCCTATGTATTGAACATAGGATTATAAAATCTTTGACGATTATTGCACGGTAGTGTGCAGTCGTTTGTCTAACGATAACTCCTAAGTCATCACGTGTCCGGACAACAGGTAAATCAATGTTATTTACCGTGTATGCATCCGTACCTTAGTGACCAATATGCATTACAATGCACTCGGAAGCACTTATCATCAACTGCCAAATTTCAAACCAGTTAGATAATTTCTCCAAGTCATTTGAAGCCCAAAGCTATCAACTTTACATTTTGTCGCTCTCTGTATCTTGACATCGTCAGAATATAGCAACACCGATGGTGATAGAAGAGGAGGAATGTCAGTTACATACAAGAGGAACAACACTAACTCCAAAACTGTACCCTGAGATGCTCCGCTAAGCAGTTTCTCAGCTAGACAATTTGGAGTTCACCCGTACTCTTTGTTGGTGCCCAACTAGAAAGTCTTTTATCCAAATTAATAAATTGCCTCCAACCCCGATATTACTTAACTCATATAACAGCGGATTGTGAGAAACTTTGTCAAAATCTTTGCTGAAGTCAATATAGACTACGTTTATACGTAGCTTTTGATACTTAAGCGTGCACCAACTTCCACGGGCTACTAATACATTGATGAGACAGGACTAACTTACTCTAAAGCCATGTTGCTTTTCAGAAAGAATTCGGTTTCCATCGAGATAATTGGACAACCTAAAATTTTGACAACTACGCTAGTTATAACTAGCCTATAGGCTTACGCGTCGATATTCCTCGAGCTTATGTTTCGTACCTATTTTAGAGACAGGGCTTACTATAGCATTCGTCCAGTCTTTTGATGATGGACCCTGGGTTACAGATAGATTGAAACAGATGCCAAAGGAATTCGTGACAAAATGTACTAGTTCCCTTATTAACCCAAGACACATTTCATTCGGTCCCGTTTATTTGCATATATCAAGCACTTCTCGTGAATTAGAATCGGCCTAGAATCAGAACATCCTATATTAGAGTATAATAGCTACCAAAACATGGCTGGTTAGTCAATCCAGAAAGAATGATGGTAACCCGTGTTTGCGAAACATTGCTAATTTCGTTGTGGTGACACGGAACTTTGCGAATCTGAGAGGAGAGAGTAGTAAATTGGGGCCGAAATATGTTGATGAAAGTAACCAGTGTACGGAATTATTTGTGGATGAGGAGAAGAGATAGGGGGAAGTTGGTGGATTGTGTCCTGTAGACCTTATTGTTCTCGCTTTTTTCAAAGTCATCGTGGTAGTTGAGTGTGTATGCTTAGTCAGCACTCAAACTTTGGATTTCCTAACGCGTATAATAGGCGACTGAGAAATCGTATGAATCAGTCAAAAATGCAAGCACAACACTGCATCACTGAACTTGTAAGTGTCCTTTGTAGAATACTTTCGAACCTCACCAGCTGTCCTAGTTAGCTAATGAATGAGTAGCACGACCGAAGCATTGTCTGAAGCTACCTGTGCACTTCATGAATGTTTAAACCTGAAAGTTTCCATAACATTTTCTAAAATGCGTCATTCATTTGTGTTATTTTGCTTGATTTGTTACATGAGATAAAATAATTATATTGTATTAGGTTGATATCGTGATTTTATCTGATGTTAGTGACCGGACTGAACCATGTTGGTTGGTCAGAGGTAATCGACTAGAAAAAGTGAAACCAGGTTTCGTGCCAGCTGGCACTCATCAGTAAGGTGCGACTGGAATCTTGAGGGAACGGACGTCCTTTGTGGAGTCCGAGCCTACGCCACTCAGTGTCATAGTCGAAGGCGTTAGCATGAAGCGATTCGGGTCTCTATCGACGTTTATGTCTGAATCAAGCATCTGAGCTAGCATACCATCTACTTTTGTCGATTGCAACATTTTCATCCTTACGATACCAGTAGAGGTTTTCCTCTTGACATTCTATTGACTAGTCAGCTGTGAGGGGACTGAGTTGTGGTTTATTGGAATTCGATCTATTGATTATCACGAAGTGAGTCGACCTGAAAATTAATGTATTGATATGTTCTGTTAATCCACTTGTAATCTAGCTTATCTGATGTTTGAGTGCGAAATAGGTCTTCATCTTTTGATTACTTGTTTCCTCATCTATGAATTCTGTCTTACTTCATCCACATCAATTATTGGAAGCAATTTGGCAGATAGATGACCCTGTTTGGTCGAAATGTAGGAAATATATGAATGGTCACATATAAGACACTGAGCTGTCGATTTTCATACATAAATAACCTGTTCATCGGTTGTCCTGACGAGACCCGGTTTTAACCCGACCGTTATTGCTACCTTGATGTGGTGGTCGGGCTTGCCTATCGTGATGAAGCAACCGAGCTATACTGGCTGGATCAACCGTTCCTCAAGGTCCTACCGTGTCAGACAGGTCGGTTGAAGAGCGGTAAGACTAAAAGCAACAAACCCCAAGGTCCGAAGGCGAAATCATAATGCTGACTGTACAGAGGTGTGACAGCAGTAAGGTGTTTCCTTCAGACAACCAGCATGACAGCGATGCTGCCTTCCCACAAGAAGGGGTGGGGTTAGAAAATGTCGACCCTAAAAACGCACACCTCGCCTTACCTCATGGGTGTCCGTCTCCGGCGGTAAGGTCTCAATAAGTACGGAGCTAACACAAAAATTACCCATAAAAAGGTCGTGTGTGACCGACCTCAAGCAGTTGTCCCTTGGGCCCTACGGTCTCGCTCTCAGGTCACTAAGACCACCTCTAATCCAATTTCCTTTTCAGGTACCTCCAGAAGAACCCTTCTTCGGTGTGGGCAACCGGGAAGTGAAAACCGCCCTCATACCTCTAACAGCACTCAAGACCACTGTATTCATAATCAACCTCCCTCTTCAATTCCTGTTATTCCTCCTACATCGACTTACAACGCTAAACTTCCTCTTTCGGCTTCCTTCTCAAATGTCACCATAGCCAACGATTCTAGTGCTCAAAACATTGTCCCAGGTCTACTGAAACCTCGCTCCAAACTACACATTGGAGCCTCCAACGTACGCACCCTATGTCAAATCGGTCAGCAGGCTTCCTTGGCTAAAACCCTAGAGTCTCTTTCCATTGATGTATGCTGTGTCTCCGAAACACGCATACAGGATTCCAGTGTGGTCATTCACTTGACCTCACCTCGGCAACACGGAGAGCCAACGAGATACACCCTCCGCGTATATGGTGACCCGACGGTCAGCTGTCGTGGACTGGCAGGAGTAGGGATAGCACTAAGCATGAGGGCGGAACAAGCACTGCTAGAGTGGATCCCCGTTAACAGTCGTTTATGTGCTGTTCGGCTAAACGGCTCCGTAAGAACTCGGAAGGATAGGGATACACGTCGTTACCTTTTTGTCGTTTCTGCCTACGCTCCCACCGACTGCAGCTCAGATGAAGTGAAAGATGAATTTTACAGAATACAGAATGCTAAACATTCAGACAGAGTACTCTTAGCAGGTGACTTTAATGCCCAGATAGGTAGCTTAAATCAAACAGAAAGGCATTTAGGTGGGTATTTTAGTATTCCGGCACAAGGAACAGATAATGGTGATCGTCTGCTGCAATTGTGCTCAGAGAATCGTTTATTTTTAGCAAAAACAAATTTTAAGCATAAGAAGAGACATCGTCTAACATGGCGACCCCCTACACCAAACCAACGATGGGCTCAAATAGACCATATTGCCATCAGTCATTCCCAGACAGTGTGAATGGAACATTGACGTAGGTCCCCCAACCGTAGCTGAAGTTCAAAAGGCTATAGTTAATCTAAAACGAGGAAGGGCAGCTGGTCCAGATGGATTGGCTCCAGAGGTCTTCAAGGATTGTGGTCCAATTTTAGCGATTAGATTGACTAATATTTTAGCTAAGATCTGGGAGTTAGACGTTATCCCATCTAAGTGGTCACAATCACTTATCGTCCCAATATATAAGAGAGGGTCAAAATCATCCTGTGACAACCATAGAGGGATTAGTTTAGCTAATATAACATCTAAAATACTAGCCTCGATAATTATCAGACGCCTAACTAAGACTCGTGAACTGTAAACACGAGAGACTCAAGCTGGCTTCAGACCTGGTCGTGGCTGCATCGACCACATATTCACCATTCGTCAGGTTCTAGAACACAGGTCTTTCTTGACTTGAAAGCAGCATTTGACTCGGTAGACCGCGAGATTCTGTGGCAGTGTCTGTCATTGAAAGGCGTACTACAGAAGTACATAAACCTTGTAAAGGCTCTTTACTCGAACACTACCAGTCGAGTCAGAGCTTATGGCGAACTGTCATCTGCTTTTGCAACCTCAAGTGGTGTCCGTCAAGGCTGTTCACTTTCCCCATTTTTGTTTAACTTCATCATAGACCTACTGATGGAAATAACTTTCTCATCTACTGAATTCTCGGGTATTGATCTCCTCCCGGGAGGTCCACTTATCGACTTAGAATACGCAGATGATGTAGTCCTGTTTGGTGAAGACGCTGATAGAATGTAGAGTCTTTTGGTAGCACTGAGCAGCAATGCCAGAATGTTTGGAATGCGCTTCTCTCCCTCTAATGCAAGTTTTTGCTTCAGGACTGGTCTGCGTCAACACCTAAACTGAGGATAGGGAGTGAAGTAGTCGAACGTGTTGGCAACTTCACTTATCTTGGAAGTCTGATCAGCCCTAATGGGTTGGTGTCTGACGAAATTTCAGCACGGATTCGAAAAGCTAGTTTGGCTTTTGCCAACTTGAGTCACCTTTGGCGAAGGTGAGATATCCGTCTATCAATAAAAGGACGAGTATACTGCGCGGTAGTCCGTTCTGTTTTAATTTACGGCTGCGAAACATGGCCTTTAAGAGTAGGAGACACTCGTAAGCTATTAGTATTTGACCACAGATGCCTTAGAAATATTGCTGGTGTCTGCTGGGATCACCGGGTAAGTAATGGTGCGGTTAAACGCAGGGTATTAGGGAATGATGGTAAATCAGTCGATGGGCCACGTGTTACGTATGCCCGGACACCGACTACCACAACGTGCAATGCTAACCGGGGTAGGGGATGGTTGGAAGAAAGTTAGGGGCGGCCAAACCAAAACGTGGCATCAGTGCTTGAAGTCACTAACTTCTGGTCCGAGCCATGTTGGTAGATGCAGACTTCTTGGTTGGGGTCGTAATGAGTAGTCGGAGACTTTTGGTGACATGGCTCAGAATCGACCAAAATGGCGTAGGTGTATACACTCTCTGTCTTCCCTTAAATTGCTTCATATATTTCTTTCTACGAACTAATTCTTTCTTGCTGTACCATATCCTTATTGTAATCTTTCTTTTATATATTACCACCTCTGAATTAGCTACTTTTATGAATCCGGTGTCCATCTTGTTGTGTTAATGACGTATGGCAACTTGGACCGATGCATATATGTACCTGGTCCTACGTTGTAGCTGACTGACTGATCATTAATACAAGGGTAATCTACAGTCACGAAAAGTTCACCTATTGCAGTTGGGAGACCCTGATTCCAAACCAATGGTGCATGTGGGCTACAGTATCCTGAGGAAACAAGTGGCGTATGAACGCACTGTAGCGGTACATAAATCCCCAAAATAAATAGCTATCCAATCAGGACCTGGTAGAACTTTTTTGAAGATCAACGCGACATACTATAGATGAGCATAGCATGCCTCCACACGGGTTGACTGAATTATAATAATGTTATAGCTAATACCAATAACTATAATTACTCATGTTTTTCTGTACATTTTTGGTTCTTGCCCAATAATCACTCTCCTTTCTTCTTCCGTCTTCTGATTTGGTACTTCGGGATTCTACATGTTTGGGTGCCGTTAGTTGTATGTCGTATTCTGCCGTTATTAAGGAGAGAGAGCAACAATACCCCCACCAACGTATGCTCTGAAGCTAGTTATATAGTGAAGTGTTTATTCAATGATTTTTGTAACGACAAAACGAAGACCACAATTTTTTTATTGGTGACACCATATGTGATCACATTTATATTCAATATCTACTGTTTCCCCATATTTTTATGTAAAAATGAACACTATGGTTTAATTGTGATAGTACGCACATGTCTTGCTTTAATTAAATTAAACACTATACCTATCGTCTGTTCTTCGACTTTATTGGCCCCAGTGCCGTTGGTGTTAACAGGTTCAGAGGAACCTTCCACAATCTAGTGAACAAATTTTTGTTTTTTTTTATCTCATAAAGAGCATACAAATAGCACTCACTTCATAACAAATGTTATCATTTAAGTACTTTTATCCTCTTTTGTAGTAAGTGATATTTGTAGCCGTTTTGCGTTTACAATGCTGTCGGTTATTAGGTCACCTCTGAGACTCCTGTACTCCAGTGGGTAAATTTTCAGTGATTTAAGGTGCTCTTAGCAAGGCTTGAATTCGAGTCCCGAAACTGGTTTCGTGACGTATAACCTGCTAGAAAATCTGACATTTCATTAGAAACCAGTTTCATTGTCATATGAATCTCAAGGAATTACCACGTGGTCGTGTATAGCGTGCTAGTTTTGAACGCAGAATGAGATCAAATGTTCATAAAATAATGAGAAAGCTAAAGACTTCATAATTCAACTACAGAAACAGGCCGCAAGGTGCGATTTCGGAGAGCAATTGAAAATTCAAGTTCTTGATCGGTTAATTTCTGAGATAAATATTCCGAATTTAAAAAACAGTTAATTCAGAAACCTAAAAGTTCATTCTCAGAAATCAAATCATGTGTTAACTATAAGTCAATGAATGAGCTTGATTTTCAGTCAGTGAGCATTTCTAATACTTTGCTTACTTGTCATTTTGAACTACGTTATCAATGATGCTCAAGTTCGCTTTGGTTAATAATGATTCCCATTTAAATGGGAAATTAGATTATTCAAAGAGGGATTGCATAAGAAGTTACAGGGTTGAGCGCATTTTGGTGAGTGTTTATCCTGTAGTAAATTTCACTTGCGTGACTCATGTGTCTTTCACCATGCTAAGTGCTTGAGTTGTGGTAAAATGGGACAAATTTTTTATATCTGGTCGTCGCAGATTGCTGTGCCGGAAAAACAAAACGCTGGTCACTTATACTCGGAACGAGGGACCTCGGCAATTCTCACGACGCGAAAGTAAGAACAAAAAGACTGGTATAAGTGAAGATTTATTATCCCCAAACACTATGATGACGACGAATCAAAATAGTCTAAAATACACAGGTTTATATTATTGATTGTACACCCATTTTGATTAATAATTAGGATTAAATCATATACTCAGTAATAACAAATCACTTACTGAGCATAGTTCATGTCAAGTGAATGGAAGAATATCGTATATTATACAGAAGAAAATATCATACTGGGAAAACAATCAAATACTACACTGAATGATCCTCACGTTGAATCAAAACGGATGTAATGTTTAATAAAACTGATAATGAGTAATTCAATCGAAAATTGACTTTTCTTTCCATCATAACATAATTATACAATAAGAATATACGTTTAGTATTCGTCCATAAAAGGATCCCAAAATTACCATTCATTATGTTTCTCGAGTCCTAACAACATTAAGTCGGTCTGTAAAGCTGCTGTTCACTATACCACTAGTGATCATAAACCTCGGATTTTATTAAGTTGGGTGTTTGTAATCATAATCTATATTTGTCAACGATTTTGAATGGTAGTGTCCATATTTAGAAGTGATTCCATACCTCCCTTGGTTCATCTCATGTCACAGGCAGTATAGAGCTTATTATTTCATCAAAAAAACTTGAAGTATTGCGGGACAACCCACTGAAGAATCAGTATTGGGTATAACTGAACTCAAGCTACCATATGAGTATTCTCTGAATTGCTAGTTTGAGATGATAACTTTATACATGTTTTGTGAGTTTTCAGTTAGTAAAGCAGAACCGTCGATACTGGATTATAAAAAGTTGAATAGGCCTAAAATGGAGTCATCTTCATTAGTTTCTAGATAGGACTCTGATGCTCCACATAAACACATGATAGCTGCAGTGGGGGGATGAAAACTCAGCCTATAAAACTATAAGTGTGTGTTGATCCAATCTTTCCTAAAAAACGAATAATTCCTTATGGTCTTTGAGAAACAGCACAAAAGGTACTGAATGATTTTTATGCGAAACGTATAATTGGACCGATCCAGTCTTCGGCATGAAGCGTTCCTATTTTTAACCCTGTTCTTACGAAGTCTGATGGCAAGACCCATAGAATATATGATGATTATAGATTAACACTAATTTGTCATTTGTTAAAACAAACGTGCACGACGCTGGAGGCTGAAATTATTCTTAATTGACTTTATTGTTTCAAGGTATTCCTCTTATATCAATCTTCATCTATTTTGACAACGGTTAACACTCCAAAATTTGGGAAATTCCCATAGTGTGATTAAGGACAACGTATATAAGCTAACAATATTATTTCCAATTAGATCCTCATCATACTTCAATGTACAGTAATATTTATGTGCATATGCTGAATACTCCTGTCACCACACAATCAATTTGTACTCTTTACTTATTGTGCTTATTTATATAATCTATTCCACTGTTATCACCGAATCATAAACTTCACTGATTAGTTTGATAATTTCGTATATGCATATAAATAGAACCGCATATTAGAGTGAAGCCGGATGACGATCTAATGGAAATCAATATTATTCGCTAATATATGTTACTCTAATAAACTCTC